AACTGCTGACAGCTGCTGTCACACAGTTTTTTCACCTAGAAACCGTTTGTAATTCAAAATTGCGCGTTTGTGATTGGTGGAAATTAAGACGAGGGAATTAGTCAGTTAAATGAATTATTCGTAATACTTAGTCAATAATCTATTAGACCTTGTTCATTTTTCTCGAAAGTAGGTCATATTTTGTTTGCTTCTATAGAAACAATTTGATAAACGTCTGCCACCACGAAAAAGATTTTGAGCTATAGCTCTTTTTCCAGGGCTTGAAGCAAGTTACTTTTATAAAAGTAACTTGCTTCAAGCCATGGAAAAAGTGTTTGTGATGGTATTGGAGCAGTTGTTAAACGAACAACAATGAGACATTGCATTCGATCACCACCAGAGAAGCAAATTACTAATCCATTAGACATGTACAATTATGTTTCTGAAGAATTAAAAAGTATCAGGTAAATTTAATATATTAAAACTTTATGTCTATTACCAACAATAATTATTATAATTATCTATAGAGCTTTATGGGTTCCTGATACAGAAGTTCAACAAAGTCAAAGGCACTTGAAAAAAGATGTGACCGCGTTTCAACCATAAAAGGTACAAGACTGCATCATTTTTATAAACCGATTAATGAGAAGAGCATTGAAATGAGTATAACTTCATTTGACGAGCAGAAAAAAGTCTATAAATTCAAATAGTCCAGATACAATTAACAAATAGGAATGTATATTAAATATTTCATAAAAGTAAAAAATTAAAGTTTTATTGATAGTTTCTTAAAAAACTTATTTTGCCCCTTCCAATTCTATATATTTTCAGATATCAATTAATTTATTACGAATAAATCATTAAACTGATAATAAAACTACAAAAAATTTCATTTTATATTGAAATTTTGACATTTTAGAAAATTCATAGCTCTTAAATCACTTCAATGCCCAAGGAAAAGTTTTGATGAGTTGTTTGAGGATAGAATAATGTATATATAATCCCTGAAATTTTCAAAGGATTTCGGATCGATAGAAAAAAGTTGTAGGTATCTGAAAACATTGATTTTTCAAAAATCAATTGTCTTTGCGTGGCCATACATTAGAGAAATCGAAGCAATCAAGTAAAACATGGGTAAATTCCAACAGAGTATACCTTAACGAAAAATATTATCTGTCATTCATCCCACTGCTTCAAAAACTGTAGATTTGAGAGCACTTTAAAAATTGGCAAAATTTATCTTAAGCAGTGTTTTATTTGGAGGCTTACAGCTTAGCCGAATTTGAGTTTAAACTTAAAACCTATTTTTTTTCTTGAAAATAGAGGGATAACATAGAAAAATGCCGTCTTGATCAAATCTCTAAGTTAAATAGGAGCTGAGACACGAATTTTTAAAAATGACTAAAAAATCGACTTTTTTTATATTTCAAAAAATTCTCTTGCAACCGGAATTACCCATATCGAGCTCAAATTTTCAGGATCGTCTCCTTATATGACCTACTTTCGAGAAAAATAAACAAGGTCCAATGGATTATTGACTAAAGTATTACTAATAATTCATTTAACTGATAATAAAACTACCAAAAATGTCAGATTATATTGAAAATTTGACAATTTTAAAAATTCATAGCTCGGAAACCACTTCAATACCCAAGGAAAAGTTTTGATGGGTTGTTTGGGGATAGAATAAAGTATAATCCCTGAAATTATCAAAGGATTTCGGATCGATAGAAAAAAGTTGTAGGTATCTGAAAACAGCGATTTTTCAAAAATCAATTGTCTTTGAGTGGCCATACATTAGAGAAATCGAAGCAATTAAGTAAGAAATGGGTAAATTCCAACAGAGTATACCTTAACGAAAAATATCATCTGTCATTTATTCCACTGCTTCAAAAACTGTAGATTTGAGAGCACTTTAAAAATTGGCAAAATTTATCTTAAGCAGTGTTTTATTTGGAGGCTTACAGCTTAGCCGAATTTGAGTTTAAACTTAAAACCTATTTTTTTCTTGAAAATAGAGGGATAACAGAGAAAAATGTCGTCTTGATCAAATCTCTAAGTTAAATAGGAGCTGAGACACGAATTTTTGAAAATGACTAAAAAATCGACTTTTTTTATATTTCAAAAAATTCTCTTGCAGCCGGAATTACCTATATCGAGCTCAAATTTTCAGGATCGTCTCCTTATATGACCTACTTTCGAGAAAAAAATCGGCAGCCAAATCGGTGATTTACCCCCGCACACTTTTGTCGAAAAGTAATGGATCTGCCCATATATATAGGTATAGGTAAATAAATTAAGAATGATTTAATAATTATGTAAAACCTACCTATTGATCCGCAGTTACTGCACTTAAATGTAGATTTGCACAACAGTTATTAAGTAACTTAATTTAACCGAATAACAGAATGAACGCCACCGCGGTAGTGCACCCTTATGTTCTGTGAGTGCACCGTTGCAAAACATGGACGGTTACAAATGATCAAGCAATCGCAGCCTGCCACTAAAGTCAGCTGATCTAACAGTAGGCAGCTGACTGAATCACAGTCTGTGATTGGTGGTATCGAGCACGGCGTTCTTTACTTCCCGCCATGTATCGACACTTCACAAGTTCCACGAATTTTTGTCTGTTTTTTTATTCGGAATAATATAAATACCTATATAGGTATTGACAGCAATGAAATTGTAAAACTAAATTTAAAATTAAAAAATATTTTGTTTAAAATAGTATTTCGTTATTGTCCTGTAGGATAATTATTTGTTCATAGACGGATTTGCGTGTCATCGATGATAGGGATTTTTTTTTTCTGATAAAAAAATAAGTTTTGATCTACAAAAAAATTGGGATTTTATCTACAGGGTGTTCAAAACTTAGGTAGTACGATCTATACCTACTACATTATACGTATTATTATATATTTATTACGTGATATAAAATCACCTATTGAAAACGTCAGAAAGACGCAACATAAAAACGTCTAAATGACGTCGGAAATGTGACGTCATAAACCCGTCTTTTATTGGTCATGTGACGTCGCCGACGAAAGGTGACCTTAAAATGTCGTCCTAATGACGTAACCTTGCTAGCTGGGTAATTATATATTTTTTGTTTATTTTATTTCATTGAATTCTAGTTTTTTCTCCATTCCCAGCTGCTTTTTTATATTTTTTAATAATGGTGATTTTATTTACGTTTTATTTTTAATTTACAAGTTGATAATAAACTTTTAACTTAAACCTTGCAGTTTATCATAAAAAAATAAAAACCAACCCTTTTGTATATACAGGGTGATTCATTGATATTGTGAGATATTGTCTATACATTATTTTTTCATTTCCTATTGTCTGGAACAACCTTATTTCAATTTTCTTAAAACTTTGTGCTTAAAAAAATAATAGCCAGCATTTGATGATTTCATTTATATATTTCAGTGGCGTCCCAGGGGCACCTCAGCTGTTATTTTTAATAAGAAATATGACACGCCCCTGATATTAATTTTTTTTGACATTTTATTAGATGAAAGAATTAAAAATAAAACTATTTTGCCTCTATACTATTTTTTGGATCTTCCTTCATTTTCGAGAAAAGGATTTTTAAACCTGTAAAATAAAACAATATTATTTTTAAAATAAAAACTTAAAAGTTATATTGTTATTTTTAGAATCTATCTTTAGAATTTGCTCTCAATATTATAATGAATTACCTTGTATTAATAACTAAAGTAAAATTCTAGACAGCGCATAAAATATAATTTAAATTATTAAAATCTGTAACATTGACACATGAAATTATTGTGTGTAATTGTAAATGTTAAAAATATACGCAATTAAGCAAGAAAGGTCATCTAAATGAAAAAAAATCTAGAAATTCTATTTAAAATTACCCTTAACATGTATTTATTTTCTTGATAAAAAAATAACTTTATTCAACACCCGCAAGGAATATGTAATTTCATGGCCCTGCTGATAGTGGGCGAAATAATTAATTCCGTGATTGTTTATTTCTTAACTTCAAATAAAATTTGCTTTATATTTTATTTAACTACCCCCAGGAATTTAAAATTTCCTTGCGGTAGTTGAATAAAATATTGTGTCCGAGTATTAGTCAAAATCCCTCTCTCGAGGAATGCCCTCTTTCTCCCATTATTGGCACAATATTACATTTTCCATTACCATTGAAATTGGAAACACTGTGGTCTTCCTCCTTAAATAAAACCTAATTAGATGAAAACCTATTTTCATAAACTTAAACAAAAAACTTCGTTTTGAGCTTATTGGTTTTAATATGTGCCTTTTGAATTTTGGACTATTAGGAATTTGGGCAATACAAAGAAAAAAATTACAAAATTTAATTTTAATTTGCAGGCAATTAAAGAAACAGCTCAAGAATATAATTTAGGATTGGACTTGCGTTCTGCGGCGTATATTAATTCTGTATTAAAAATATTCCACACCACAAACGATGCAGGTTTTGCATACTAAATTGATATTTTTTTAAACTTTTAATGTGATCGTGGATTACATACTTTATCTACTGTTTATCTCTTTTATTAAGTTTTCTGACTTAAGCAGGACTATTTATTTTGCATTTATTTTTGTTCTTATAAACCTCAATTACATGCCATTAAACTCTAGGTATTAGGTATTACAGTGCATATTACATAATGTATTAAATATTGTTAAATTTATTTTAAATAAAACTCATTACATTTAAGCTTAGATATTATTAAACATTTTCAAATTTTGAAATAAAAACTATCAATATATCACCCCAGTCGAAGAAGCCTATATATTTTTGGGTAAGTCAAAATTAAATTTTTTAAATATATTTTATATTTATAACTATGCTGCTATGGTAGTGATAATTTATGAAAATAGGTTAAATTACATAGTTTTTCTTTAGCAGTAAGAGTTTTAAATTTAACTGTTTACAGTACACCTTATAACGTATTTTTTATGTTTATTTCTGCTGCTATAGAAGACTTTAATTCCAATATTTAAACACACTGTTTTATTTATAGGCCATTATGAACACTGCCCAAAGATACAATCTTGGTTTAGATCTGAGATCTTCAGCTTATATAAACTCAGTGGAAAAAATATTTAATACTTATTCTGAAGCTGGTCTTACATTCTAAATGTTATCCATTTCAATTTTTTGTTTTATTTTATTTCGAATTAATCTTATAATAACAATGCTATGTAAAACATCAATGCTATGTAAAATATCAATGCTATGTAAAACAACCATTAATTACAATAAATACTAAGAAAATTAAATTCGTATTTTTATTATTAAAACACCCTGTAATGATTTTGTCAATTTTGACAGTTGAATTTTTACTTTACTAAAATCTCTTACGTGAAAATGGCTTATATACTTAAAAATGTGGCAAAAATAATTCCCCTGAATCCCCCCTTAATATTGCCAAAAGAAGGTCCACAAAGACTTCCTTATGAAATTCCCAATAGATTTCAAAATTCTTTTTACTTAGCAAATGCTTCGTTATATGATAATGTAAATTGGTTTTTGCACAGGGCATATGAATTGTATTTTCCAAGTTTAAGAAGACAACTACAAAATTTGGACGAAAAGAAAGAGATAAGTCTAGAAGATTCAGTGGACAAATTAAATGATCTTATACAGGTCTTAAATAATTGTAATTCCGTAATTGATGTAAGGTTTCCTATTAAAAGGGATTCTGGGAGATATGAAGTTATTAGAGGATTTAAAGGTTTTTACGGACTTGCTACAGGACATTTCCCAACATTAGGAGGTAATCAATAAATACATTTTATCTTGTTTCTATGAAATATTTATAGGTTTAAGATTGGATGAAAATTTAGTAAAAGATCAAATAAAGGGATTTTCGGTTTTAACAATGTATAAAAACTCTTTAGTGGGACTAAATTTCCCAGGTAGTCACGGTGGAATAAAAATAAATCCTAAGAAATACACAGAAAATGAATTAAAATCTATTATAAAACAGTATTCAGCTGAATTAATCCAGAAAGGATTTTGTGGTAAAAAAATAATCAAAAAATTTTAAGGTTTTTTAAATGTACTGAATCTAGGTGGCAAAAATGATATTGTTCATCCAGACCTAAACACTTCTCAAAAAGAGATGGACTGGATATCAGACACTTATTCAGAACTAACAGGTAATTACAAAAAGCCAATGCTGGCAGGATTTATATCAGTTATAAATATCCTGATATATATTTTGATAAATATCATGATATTTATGCTACGATATTTATCCTGATATATATATATTTTTTTAATTCTATTCATCTGTAAAGCCTGAATTATAGATTCCCTTCTTCCTTCCTCCCTTCCTCCCGTAAAAGAGGGAATCTTTCAACGTCACTACGATTTTCGTATTGTTCATCTTTTACGGGAGGAAGGAATTCAATCTATAAATCAGGCTTAAGTATAAATGTATGGCGCTGCGCCGGCAACAGCGTATTATGCTGCTTACGATGATGCCATTGTTGCCAGGTCAAAATTTAAGAAATAACTAGATGGCGCTTTATAAAATCATTAGAATTTTATTAGGCTTAGATTTGCTTTGCTGGCTCTTAGAAAATTTTTGTTATATGCATATTTTTATTTTAAAGAACTACTCCTGCAAATCTAAATACATATGCGGGTAAAACTACAAAGTATTATTTAAATCGACAAAATCTGCTGCGGCTGTCAGCTGCAAAAGCGGCTTTTAGTTGCAGAATGCCAAATTGTTTTTGTTTTTCTTACCGGTGGCCGGGGAATCACAAGAATCAGTCAGGCATCGAATAGAGCGGTCGCGCGGCGGCGATATGGAGAGATAATACTTGGTCGATATTGCATAATATCACAATCCACATAATATTATTATATTGTGCATAATATTATATGGTGTTTACCGCTTAAGGTTAAGGCAATATTTACCTTTTAGGATTAATTTAAAATAAAGAAATTATAAGATCAAAATATTAAAATGGGTACGTAAAATACTAGTGTTAAAAAAACACTAGAATATGGCAACTTAATAAAAATTTTCACTATATCACTAAATTACAAAAAAATCACTAGATATAGTAAAATTTCACTAGACCTGGCATGATGCAGTGATTTCCCGTCTTTCCGGGAAACTTGTTAATTTATTCCGATTTCTGATTGAACGGATCAATATATTGCTGTTTGTTTTATCAAATAAAAATTTTACAATGCCAAAAATAAAAACTACAGCTTGGGTTCATTTTAATTTAATTAACAAGCGCAGTAATTCTGGGAACTGGGCTACCAACCAACTATTTACAGCAGTTGCTAGTACTGCAGGACTGGAAAGACGATTTTCAACATATGGATTGGTCCAGTCAAAACTGCGAAACAGTCTTGGGACTGAAAACGCTAGAAAACTAGTATTTTTGTTTAAATATTTTCGCAACAGAGACCATTTAAAGAAACGTGATCTTGATTGGGTTTGGCTGGATCAAAAGGAACATTTAGAAAATCCCTCTACAAATGAAAATGAAGATTCGGATATGGATCTGCCATTAGCCAGACTGACTTCATCCTAAACTTACTTGTTTCAAGCCAGCCTTTTTTACTTGTTTTATTGTTTTTTTGTTTTTTACTAAAAATATTATTTTATTTGTTGCTTTCTATTGGCTGTTTTAGTTTTTTTGTTTTTAGTTGCAAAAGCAAAAATTTATTATATGATTATATTCATAAACTTTTTTAGCTACATTTTACTAAGTACCTACTAAAAAAACTTGTTATTGTGATATCAACTTTCGTTGAATAGAATAGAATTAAAATACAAATTTACTTGTTTATAAAATATAAAAATTATATTAAATTAAGTAATTTTTAAATTTTAAACATATATCTTTAATTCTCTAAGCAGAAAATAGTATTAATAAAAAAGAAATAAATATCCAAATTTTGATATATATCAGATATTTGGATATTTATATAAATATCATGATATTTGCCAGCCCTGCAAAAAGCGTTTTTAATATTTTAATAGACATTAGTTTTTAGGAAACACCATAAACACGGCATCTTGTGGAAAAGATTTATCAAACAATGGTATAACGGACTTTTCAAGCTCTTCAGCTTTAGGAGCTTTTTTTGCGATACAATTTTTTCTGAAGCAAGAACATATGATGAAACAAATTAATTTAAATGATGGATTAAAAGAAAAAACTTTTATTATTCAAGTATAACTTTTTCAATAATACTTTTTAAAATTTAATTATATTTTAAGGGTCTTGGTAAGACTGGCAAGAAATTGGCTCAATATCTTGTTGATAATGGTGCAATATGTGTTGGTGTAAAAGAAACTGATGCCTATATATATAATTCTAATGGTATCGATATTAAAGTAAGTTTTACCATATCACTATATCCAGAAAATACGTAAATAACGAAATACAATATTCATTGCGGCAAATTTTGTTTTTAAATTTGAAATAGTTCGAAATAACACATAATGCGCGGCATTGTGTGTGTTAGTGATGAATGTCATCCTTTGGGAAATCAGTTAGTGTTTCACTGGTGAAGATTGCGCTCTTTGCGTGAAAGGCTAGTACAAAAACAACAATGTTTTAATCCCCGCGCTTATCATTGCTTACGACACAGTCGTGCTCCATCAATGAAATTATTTAAAAGTTGGGTGAATAAATTTAAGAAGACGCAAAAAGAGGCCCATATGGCCCATAGGCCCATATGATGACTAATATGATATGAGTAGAAATGTAAAAAACTGTTTTTTTCAGATGTGAAAAAAACATGAAAAAAAACCGGTTTTCTTATTCCAAATCCGCTGCAATAAAGCATATTCTGTCAATAAATAACATCAATCTTAAAAAGTTATTATAAGAAACCAATAGCAATGTAAAACTTCTACACTCATAGAAAAAAATAAAGGATAAAAAAAATTCCAAATATTTTGCGATTTTTCGGATAGCTGCATCTTTGTTAAAAATGGTCGTATTGGAACCGTAAAAAAAGCAATTTGAACTTTTATTTACTTACTTTTTTTAGGATCAAATCAAAAAACAAGCCCGGCTCCTTATTGGTCAATTCGGTGGCGCGTGCAAAGCGCGAGACTGTATTTACATTTACTAAATGTCATTTAGTAGCTAATTTTAGTTCACGAACTGGACTGGAAACAAAAAATTAGGCAATTAGTCAAAAAAAAACCATTAGAAAAAAAAACAATGAAAAAAATCCTGAAACAAAAACAAAAAAACGGACCGTTTTTTTCAAGTCGCATCTCTAGATATGAGTCAGAACAGCTAATTTTAGTCCATGAACTGGACTGGAAACAAAAAATTAGGCTATTAGGCAAAAAAAACCATTTGAAAAACAATGAAAAAAAACTGAAACCAAAACAAAAAAACGAACCGGTTTTTTTTCAAGTCGCATCTCTAGATATGAGTCATAACAGCCTCTTGCGCCCACAGTTTTATGGTGTTCTAATGGTCTTCCCCTTTTCCGCTATATGTTATCCGTTTTCTTCACCCAACTCCTAATTAATTTCCCGGATAGAGCACAATTCATAATCCGAAAAAAATCTCCGCGGGATGATCAAATAATTGGTGAACGCATTCTTTAGCCATAAAGCTACTGATTTCCCTAAGGATGACTTTTATCACGAGCACACAGAAACATAAAAATGTCGCATCACATTTTTAATTATTACAAATTTAAAGAAGAAATTTTTCGCGTGACACCCTTTATAAATAAGTCAATTAAACCAAGTTTATGCAAAGTTGCTTTGTTTATTTAGTAACTAGAAGGTGCTAATCGATTGACCAATTGACCGTTTTGAGTATAAGTTTATTCTTTCAATTGACGTAAATAGAAGGTGCTAATCGATTGACCACCCTTGTGGAAATTTTTTCTCTGAGAAAGTCTTACTTTCTCTGAAAAAGTCTGAATAATACTTATTAAGTCGGAAAAAGTCAGAATAAGACTTATTAAGTCGGAAAAAGTCTGAATAAGTCTTATTAAGTCAGACTAATAGCAAGATTTGGGAGTCTTCTGGAAGAGTTAATAAGACTTTTTAAGACTTAATAAGACTTTTAGTAGAGAAATGGTAGGTTCCTATGGCGATAAAAATAAATATCCGAAATAATTCATAGAGATTGTAAGTATTTGGTTATCGTAAAATAAAACACATAGACAAGTATTTATTAACATTTTTGCTGTTGTTATAAGCCAAGTTTATTGCATAATTACCTATATACTAACATAGGTAAGAATCTTACCGTAAGATGTAATAATTATAACAATTATAATTTTATACATACGATGCTTTCATTGTTTCCAACATAGAAAAAGGAGTTAATATCAAGTCTATAGACATGATATTTTCGATAGACTTATAAGACAAATATGGTTGATCTTCGTGTTTCATTCATCTTTGTATCTTCGTGTTTACGTACAGTGTTGCCATAAAAGTTCCTGACCATAAATTACAAAATACTAAAATAATAATAAAAATGTAACAAGATAGAATAAAATAATTGTGCATATTTAGTAAATATACAATATTATTTACTGAAAATTTCTTTTGTTATTATTTTGATAGAAATTTGCAAATCACCCGCAAATATTATGAAAATACCCGATTTTCGAGTAAAATACTTGCAAACGGCAACACTGTGTCCCACTGACAGGTCAGCTGTGCTCTAATTGGTCAGCTAGCTAAGCTGGTCTCTCGATATTACGTCTTACGTCTATTGTTTGTGACAATGTTTAGATAGGTAAATATTTGCGTGTATCAAAAGAAACTATTAAAATAAAACGTACAGTGGCAAACCCTTTTTCTATTGTGGAAGCATGCATGTCAAGCGCATCGTATGTATAAAATTATAATTGTTATACCTAATTATTACATCTTACCTATGTTATTATATAGGTAATTATGCAATAAAATTGGCTTATAACAACAGCAAAAATGTTAATAAATACTTTTCTATGTGTTTTATTTTACGATAACCAAATACAACCTCTATGAATTATTTCGGATATTTATTTTTATCTCCGTAGGTACCTACCATTTCTCTACTAAAAGTCTTATTAAGTCTTAAAAAGTCTTATTAACTCTTCCAGAAGACTCCCAAATCTTGCTATTAGTCTGACTTAATAAGACTTATTCAGACTTTTTCCGACTTAATAAGTCTTATTCTGACTTTTTCCGACTTAATAAGTATTATTCAGACTTTTTCAGAGAAAGTAAGACTTTCTCAGAGAAAAAATTTCCACAAGGGCAATTGACCGTTTTGAGTATACGTTTATTCTTTCAATTGACGTATTTTGGTGGTAAACCGAACAAAAACAAATGAGCCAAATACATATCCGCATATCCAAAAATAGGTTTTACTTTTGTTTGTGCGTGCATTTCAGCATGCAAATACGCCTCATACAATGCGAGAGAAATGCATGCCGAATGCGTGCATTTTTTATGCTCAAGTTAACTCTCATTTCATAAGAGTAAAATTAATGCAACATGCTACGTGCATTTCTTCTGCACAAATACTTCGTGTTTATTTTTTTTACATTTTTACAAATCTTATGCTTATGGTCCCACCTTATACAAATCAGTCAATTTCTAAAATTACACAAGTATACACGGTTTTGGACCTGAGCAACCAAAAGTTGTACTATGGTAACTTGGGGCGCTGAATCCAAATCTTCAGATGTTCGAGATAGTAAATAAATTAAATTTGTACGATCTTTGGCAATTATATTTATTTAATGGCAATTAAAAGTAATAAATTAGAAATGAAGAGCCGTGGAACTAAGTATTTTATATTGTTTTGGATCCGTTTCACGCATTAGAGTCCAACAGTACTCGCTCATCATGCGTTCATCCCAAAATTCTTGGTACCTCATTTTAATGTTTGGGAGATCTTGGTGTAGCGGCTCTTCCTGTTCGTCGCTCGTATCGCCCAAGTTTTCAGGGAAAAATTCGAGGTGGGAATGGAGGAAATGCGTCTTGAGAGACATCCGAGATACAATCTTGCGGTAATTTTGCAACAAATTGCCGATGATTTGCTTGAAATCCGGGTATTTGCGCTTACCAAGAAAGTTGTGAACAACCCTTTGAAAAGAGGTCCATGCTGCCGCTTCATCGGGCGTTAAACATTTTGTATAGTTTCCGTCAGTCATTAATTTTCGAATATCAGGTCCGACAAATATTCCTTCTTTGATTTTTGCGTACGACAAATTAGGAAACAACTTGATTAAGAACTGAAAAGCCTGTCCTTCACCTGCGAGAACTGAAAAAGTAGAACCAATGTTGCCAACTGGATTTAAGATTCGAATTCAGCGCATCAAATAACGTCAAAAATCGTTGTAATCTGCTCGGGTCCAAAAGTTAGCCGGAATTTGTAAACTTGTGTTATTATACAATTTATTGACTAGAATTTTTTAGTACCTTGAGTATGGATTGTTCTATTTTTTTGTTTATATATGTATCTGCGCCAAGCCAAACTCTATTAAGCACACTTTTTTTTAAATTATACAAATACGCTAAAATTAACTAAAATTTATTTCTAGATTAAAAAAAAAATTTTTGTTTAAAAATTCAGGAAAATGCACACAACCGTTAATAGGTGGTATGCCAGACCATAAAAAAATTCTGTTCTGATTGGAAGAAAAAAACGTACTGATTTTACTGAATAAGTACTGTTTTCTAGAAAAACAAGATTTTGTTAATATATTGAGTATATTGCTTGTACCTACTTAATGATAGTACTCTTACTCAACAAACTTGACCCTCTGGCGGTCACGTATTTTAAAATATACTAATATATTTCTTAGAATTTTAAACCTACGTCACTGCCTGTGTATGTATGCTTAAATGACTATATTTGTAATTTGTACCGTGATCGCTTTTTATTTTGTTGGTTTAGGCCGCCAGGATGCAACATGTTGTTCCAAAATTGTTGGAGCTGTGATCAACACTTGCGTCTATATCCCAAACCTATTCCCTGTCATTTTCGTTATGCAGGTACACTGCATTGTGCCATACCAAACTAACCCAAACTTAACAACCCAACCCAACCGACCCCGCCCCATTGGGCCCCTCCCGCCCCATTGTCACAATCCAGCCTGCCCTTAGATATATGTATAATACCTCTATTGCTCAATGGGGCGGGAGGGGCCCAATGGGGCGGGGTCGGTTGGGTTGGGTTGTTAAGTTTGGATTGGTTTGGTATGGCACAATGCAGTGTACCTGCATAACTTTTTACTTTGAAATTTGTTAAAGAAACACTTGACAGTGACAAACTACAGAACGCATTTGACAGGGAATAGGTTTGGGATATAGACGCAAGTGTGATCAACGATAAAAGCGTCGTCGCTATCGTTACTATTGATGCAACGTTTCATAGCGAGTAAGGACGACGCTCTTATCGTTTATCACAGCTCCAACATACTCGCGTCCTTAGTCAAAATCTAGCTGGTAGATGCTAGATTTTGATATGTCAGTAACAATAATTAAGATTTTATATAAAAAATTTGTCTTTAAAGAACGTGCTTGCCATGTTCAATGCAAAAAACGGTGTCGTGTAATATAGATAGACCTTTATTCACCAATGGACAAGATTATTTTAATACGTGAGGGATCATGACATTTTTAGTTTGAGAATCAAAAATTCATTATAAAAAGAAGTTTTTTCTTTAATATGTATATATTTTGCAAATTTTGCTAGTTTTATTTGTCATTTAAGTTTTAATTTTTTTGTTGGGAAGGAAATAAAACCTTCAGAAAACCAAGCAGAACAAAATTATTTCGTTTAAATCAAACTTTAGGCAAACTCTTGAAGAAGGTGATGAACCCAAACGTTTATATTTTTGTTTGAGAGTGAAAATAAAATTTTGAATCTAAAACTTTTTTATAAATTCGTTATTTTTTTATGAATCCACATTTATCGCCAATGGTGTGGTTTCACCCCAAAATTGTCGATATTGAAGCAGTCGAAATCCATATTTTACCATACCTGCCTGAAGACAATATTTAAAAAAGTTAACGTTAACGCACTGCGCTATTACCTTATGGCGTGATTTAATAATCTGAATTTAAATCAGCAGTTATTTGGAGATGTACACTTTTGATTAACATTAAATTTTTATAATTCAGTGTTGTTCCACTATTCCCGTTACTTTCGAAATTGGCTTGCAGAGAAGTTTGGCAAAAAATGTATGGGGAGGAATGACCCAATTCATACCACATAAAAAATACCTAATGGTTGTTAAATTTTAATGAGTAAGTAGGTGCATTTTTAGTTTTACAAATTTTAGAAATTTAGTAGAAAGGTTTAATTGATAAGGTCAAAATTGGGGCAATTGCGAATAAAATAAATTAATAATAGCAAAGAAAACCTTGTTTTCTTTGTATTAGAGGACAATTTACCAATCAAATCAAGTAAACTTTTTTGTAAATAACTATATATTTTAATTTTAAATATTTTCTATTGAGTTTAAGAATTTTTTTATTTATTTAAATAAAATGGATTCCATTTATTATCTAATAAACAGTTTTTAAAATAATTTTTTTAGGTTTTACTTATACAGATCTTTATTACAACACATTGCTTTGTATTTTTTCTTGTAAATTTATTATTATGTTTTAGTATCACATAATGTACATTTTATGATTTTATGAATATATTAATTAATCTAATGGTTAAGTAAAGTTATGGTGGATGAAATGTGGTTTGTTAAACTTTATTGGGTGGTATATTCCACGATACTGCTCCATCATTTGGTACCCATGCTATCAATCTCAAATAAATATACTTGAAAATATTCAAAGACGTTACCTCAAGCTGATTTCCTATCGTACAGATAGAGTCTACCCCCCCCCCGTGGTATTGATCATAGCATTTTACTCGCACGGTTCCATTTTAATCCATTACATGTTAGAAGACAAGTTTCAAGCATTAAGTTTCTTTTTAAGTTGTTTAATAACAGGATCGATTCTCCTAGTCTCCTGTCGCAAATAAACATTTTTGTAACAAGATTGGGTTTACGATCAGAGACTCCCCCAATACATGTTATGTGTCAAAATTTTAACCAAATTTGTAATTTATGTGATTTGTTTAATGATGGTTTTAGAAGTGTATCTAATACAGCCATGTTATTTTTTTCCGTTAATACTTAAAACTTATATTTGTTATTGTTTTGTTAATTTGAGGAATAGGTAAATAATTTTTTGTTATTATAAACACTTAATGGTGTTGTTATTACATATTATGTTGTCCTGTAATTGGAATTATGTATTCTGTTGGGCAATAAATGTTATTATTATTATTATTATTATTATAATCGGATTTTTTTATCCCGACCGTTAGATATTGTATTGTGACAGTATACCGTCATCCCTATGGGGCTGATTATCGTAGAATATACTTATCTTATAAATATATACCACATTTAATCCACCATAATAGATACACGTCTCCATTAAAAATTATTTAAATAACCACTATATCAGAAATTTTAGCTTGCCACATTTGTACCTTTAATCTGCCATATCAGAACATTTAGCGCGCCATATCAAAAATCGAATGGTTCTTGTAAGTGCCTTTATTGACTGCCGTTACATGCCCATTAAAGGTGAAAGCGACATAATATATACAGTTCCATTGGAGTTAGACTTTATAGGGCCTTTAGTTCATTAAAAGTACAATTATAAAGGGCCATTATATAGAACCTTTACGGTTGTGTTTGCTGGGTTAGTACGAATTACCATTTTTTAATTACCGTTCTTGGATTTTTTCTCCCCCCTCTTTTTCTCCTCCCCTTCCATACGCTTAACCCCCCAGACAAAATTTCTGAGCACGTCACTGATGGTCAGCATATTTGCTTTTCAAGCAGTTGATCTGGGTTTCATTGCATTTATAAACAAAATCTTTTAAACAAATATAATAGGTAAGTAAATTAAAAGTATTCTCCAAATCGAGTTATTAGGAGAAAATTGTTTACTTTAAATTCTTCTAGCATCTAAACAAAGCAACTTTGGATAGGAATCTATGGAATTTCCTTGTATTACTTTTTGTGGACACCCTGTATGACTAAAATTAATGGCTTTTTATTTAGGAACTTTTTTCTTATTTTGAAGAACATTCTTCTTTTAAAAACTTTAGTATGGCAATACCAGAATCAAACGATAAAATATTTCAAGAAAAGTGCGATATTTTAATTTTTGCTGCGAATCATAAAAGTCTTATTTGCTATGTTGCCGATAAGGTAAAAGCTAAGTTAATAGTGGAAGCAGCTGATAGTCCTATATCACCAGGATCACATAGAATTTTAAGCCATTCTAAGATGGTGATACCAGATATTTTTGCTTGTGCCGGTTGTACAATTGCTTCTGCCTTAGAGTATATGCAGAATTTAAAACAAGTTAACAGTCCATTAAATGATATGTTAAAGTAAGTGTGTAATTTTTAAATTTTAAAATGAATTGAAATAATGTTTTATTAGATATTCAGACAAAATTTATGAAGAATTATCAAATGGTCTGTGTATTCATAGTGAACAAAAAATAGCTTCACCGTTTTCTGTGCAAAAAATATCTTCTCATAAAATTAATTCTGATGTTCTTGAAAATACCATTAAAAAAATAACGGAAAATGTAGGAAAAGAAATAATTGGAACAATTAAAGAATTTCAGTTGGGTCATGACGTTAGATCAGCTGCATATATCGTATCCCTGCAGAAAATGTATAACAAAATGTATGCTACCCAAAGGTTTTTGTAAAAAAATAAATTTATAAATACTTTGCTTTTTATTAAAATTTTGTTATAAATATAAAATATTATTGAACTTAATGTAGTACTCCTGCGTATTATACTTAAAATTAAACCTTAAATACTTAAATATGTACATGTGAGTTAACAATTGGTTTCGACTGCAAAAGGAACCATTTGTAAATAGGATCCAAACAAATTATGGTAATTTTTTTATTTACCGATGGGCGGTAAATAATCTCTAGACGGCTTTTGAGTGAAACCAACTTGAGGTCTTTCTGCATGGCCTCCAGAATATTTTTTTTCTCCAATAGGATAAGCTGCAGACTGCTTTTCGCCTTGGTATCCAGGTCTATCCAGTGTTGGAATGGGTCTACCTGAAGGATACCCCGAAACTTCTTTATCTTGATATCCTGGCGTTGCCTTGGTACCACCACCAGTATATTCAGATTGTTGGGTACTAGGAAAACCTACTCCGGGTTGTCTTGAAAAGTATCCGGTAGAACCAGCTCCTGGATAAGCCGTCGTTTCTGTTCCAGAATATTGAGGTAGTTGTGTGTTAGTTGGTCTTCCCGAGGGGTAGCCTGTTGTGCCAATTGTGGGACTGGTTCCATGGCCTGGTTGTTGGGTACTGGGCCTGCCAGATGTTTGTGTTCTATCAGGCTGTCCACTTGTCTCATAACCTGTTTGACCTGTATATCCAGTTGCTTCGCCAGGTCTGCCAGAATAACCACTGCTTTTGCCATCTCCACTAGTTCCTGGTAATCCCGTAACTCCAGTCTGATCTTTTTGACCGATCGCTTTACCAAATCCCATTGGTCCTACCCCAGGTGCCCCAGATCCTTCAAATGGCTTTTGTTGAGATCCAATTATTGAATAATCGTAAATATTTGCATTGATTTCATATAACGAAGGTGCAGAGTTACAATCAAATTGGTTCCACCAAACGCAAACCAGGTACTCTTGGTGGAATATAGTACCATTTGGACAGATAAAATCGTATGTTTTATTATTAGCGCATACGTGAAAAATCTGGCACCTCGTATCCACGTCGGCATAATAACCAGGATATTGTTGTTGGTCGCAAATAAAAGATGTTTGAGGTATTTCGCTGTATACAGGATAATCAATGTCTGGTTCTCCAGGTATCGCTGATAAATCGCCTCCCTCGGTTAAACCTGGTGAGTATTGTCCATCATCAACAGTACCACCTTGGAGTTGTCCCTGAGGATACTGAGGTCTTTCTGGAAAGCCATTTAGGGTTGACGGCAAACTTCCCTGAGGAGTTGTTCCTTGACCACCTAAAATAAATCGTTTATTGACCAAACTTAACTCTATTACAAAAAAAATTAAAACTTTACCCAGTTCTTGTGATGTATATGCAGTTTGTCCTGCATCTTGTGACGGGTATCCTTCAGCTTTGGTGATTGGTGTTGTAACTCCAAATTCTTGACCACGTGTGAAAAACCCTCCTGGTTGGGTTGTTTCTACAGTACCCCCTGGAGTTACTGCAGTACCTTGTGGGGCCTGAAAACCAGGCCTGCCAAAAGGATATCTCCCAGCTTGCTGTGTAGTACCTATTATTTCTGGGACTTGATAACCAGGTCTTCCAGAGGGATAACCTCCAGGTTGATGTGTCCTACCTGTTCCTCCTGGGGTTTGAAAATCAGATCTTCCTGATGGATAATCTCCAGATTGCTGTGTCCTATCTGTTCCTCCGGGGGGTTGAAAACCAGGTCTGCCAGAAGGATATCCTACAGGTTTTTGTGTGCTACCTGTTCCCCCTGGAGCTTGATAACCAGGTCTGTCAGATAGATATCCTCCAGGTTGCTGAGTACCACGTATTCCCCCAGGGGCTTGATAACTAGGTCTTTCAGGTTGCTGTGCACTACCTGATCTTTCTGGGCCTTGATAGTCAGGACTGCTGGTAGGATATCCTCCAGGTTGCTGTGTCCTACCTGTTTCTCCTAGAGCTTTAAAACCAGGTCTGTTAGAAGGATATCCCCCTACTCCTTCTTGGGCTTGAAAAACAGGCCTTCCAGAAGGTTGCTCTGTACTTCCTATTTCCCCTGGAGCTTGATAACCGAGTTTTCTGGAGGAATAACCTCCAGGGTGTTGAGCACCACCTGTTCCTCCTGTAGCTTGAAAACCAGGTCTTTCAGAGAGGAATCCGCCTACTTGCTGAGTACTACCCATTCTTTCTGGTGTTTGATGACCAGGTCTTCTAGAGGGATAACCCCCAGGTTGCTGTATACCACCTGCTTGTGTGCTGGTTTCTCCAGGCGCTAGATAACCAGGTCCTTTAGTGGGATATACGTTCGCTTGCTGGGTACCACCTGTTCCTTCTGGAGTTTGATACCCAGGTCTTCCGGAGGGATATCCTCCAGGCTGTTGAGCACCACCTGTTACTTCTGTAGTTTGGAAACCAGGCCTTCCAGATGGAAATCCACCTACTTGCTGGGTACTACCCTTTCCTCCTGATGTTTGATAACCAGGTCTTCTAGAGGGATATTTACCTGCTTGCTGAATACCACCTGTTCCTTCTGGTGTTTGAAAACCAGGTCTTCCAGAGGGATAACCACCCGCTTGCTGGGTACCACCTCCTGGCGTTTGATAAGCAGGTCTTCCGGCACTTTGGGAGTCACCGGAACGTGGCGGGACAGTAAATGTTGGGCCTTGGGGTGGGCCAGCTGGCGGGTATCCTAGACCTTGTTGGGTTGCCCCAGGTCTTTGGGGTTGTCCCCCAACAGGCCCATCTGTGTATCCGGATGACGGAGGTCTGCTGAATTGATCGGATGAGTAGCGGGGGGTTGTTGCTTGAGGTGGAAATGGTTGTGGTGTAGTACTTGGCAGTTGAGTAGAAAAATTTTCTGGAAATGGCCTGTTTGGAGAAGGATACTTGTAACCCACATTTTGTGCCTAAAATCGCAGTTTGGATTGGATTAAAATAAAGCAATTCAAATATTATTTTTCAAACTTACAAATGTGTTTCCATGTGTTACAAGAAATACAACTGAAAAAACAAAAAATGTTATTTTTCGTTTGAATTAATTAAATTAGTTAATCAGTTTTTCAAGCAAGTAGCTATCTAGGTATACACTAAGGGAGTTAAAAAATTAAACATAAAACAAAAAAAATAAGATTATTTTTAAAATTATATCAAGAAAAATATTTTTATATTAAAATAAATTGTATAATACTTAATAGTATATTTCTTTATGGAAATGTCCACTGAATATTTTTAACTTTAATACCTACACTAGGAGACAACTTTAGATTGGCAAAACTAAAATTAATTATAAAATGTATGCTAATACCATTTTTAAATACTATGTTTTATTAGACAATTAGATAAGATTTTTTAGAATTCCCCAAGCTTATTTATAGATAGATACACTTAATATCAATTTAATCTCAATTACATAATTGTGTGTAACCACGTTCTATTGTATGGTGTGAAGTGGCACACGACTTGTAATTAACACTGTAGTTCGTACTCTAATAAAGATCACTTTGGTATTAAAAATGTAATATTCTGATAACATCCATTATATGAAATGTTTATAAGGGACATTTTTTGGTAATGGTTTCAGAAATACTTAACTTTGAATGCATTTGTCTAGCGTTTAAATTAATATCTATTAAAAAAATTATGATTGTTAATAAATTATTATTTCATTAAATATGTTTCGGAAGGTGGAGACTGCACTGCAAAAAACTGATAACAAAAAAATGGAATTCGTTAGTTATTCCAAAATTGTATACTCATTTATTTGAAATGCATAGGTCGTTACAGCGCTCGAGCAACGCAATTTGGTTCAATTAGGTTTAATAGGTGGTTATTTTGTAATATATTAATATATCAACCAAAATAATTCTTTTGGTTGATATATTCTTTTAGTTGATGCTTGTATGCAAGCTTAGATTTACTAGTATAAGTAAATATTTGGGCTGTTTAAGGACATGCTTTTGGCAAAAAAAGTGCTTAACCACCTGTTATATATACCTACTCTGCGTGCTTAATGAAAACGCCGTAACCAACAATTTTGCGATTTTTGGTTTACGGCATTTTCTACTAGAACAATTCATCCTGCGTCTATCCCCGGTACTCAAAAAACCGTATAAATATAGATACCGGGGATAGACGCAGGATGAATAATTCATTACTGTATACAGTACTGCCGTGTTTAATGAAAACGCCGTAACCAACAATTTTGCGATTTTTGGTTTACGGCATTTTCTACTAGAACAATAATTGTTCGTAAACCAAAAATCGCAAAATTGTTGGTTACGGCGTTTTCATTAAGCACGGCAGTACTGTATACAGTAACTAAAAAATAAAGAAAGAAATTCAAGGCTTTTTTAACATAAAATCAGTGGCGGCTGGTGGATTTTGGGCACACCCATATCTCAGTTATTAGACATGGGACCCACATCAAATTTATATGAGTTTATAATGACATTATATAGATAATTACCCTCTTATATATGCCTACAAGACAATTATCGCTTGATTACAGCGATAATTGTCTACTAGGAATCGATAATTCCATTGTATCTTCGTATCCATGGCAATTAATAAAAATAACGTCAGTTTTTATTTTAATGTGACAGTTATTTTAAATGTCACGTTTTGGTAAATAATCATTTGAATCAATTATTGAATAATGTTAAATGAAGTTTTGTGTTGAAATTAAAATGAAAATGTTATTCTTTGATTTAATTAGTTTATTCGTGTAATTATCTAAACAAATTACACTCGTGCATAAAAATAATCAGATAATTTTGCATTCAAGCATATTGCCTTTTAAAAAATGCATTCGGTCATTTTCATATTTTGAGGAAAGGGCCCTCCACCTTCGGTGTCGGGCACTTTCCAAAATATGAAAATGAACTCATGCATTTTTTAGGCAATATGCTTTCAAGCAAAATTATCGATAATTTTTAAGCACTTGTGTAATTACCCCCGACAAGTTCTGCGCAAGCAGAATTTAAATTAAAGTTTGCGAAAAAAAGTTAGTTTTTAAGTGCAACCCCCAGCCTCCTGCCCCTCCAAATTAAGGTAATTCAAATTAAAGTGGTACAATGTTTAATTCACTGAAGTTTATCGACAAATTTCAAATTTTATTAAAAAAATTCAAGAATTAGAGGTTTTATACCATTTATAATTTTAATTATTTCTTGTACTAAATTTTAAAAAATTATAAATGGTATAAAACCTGTAATTCTTGAATTCTTTTTAAGACAATTTGAAATTTGTCGATAAACTTCAGTGAATTACCTAACCATATTTGACAAGTGCAGTACCTATCATTCTAAGGCTGTACGCTTTTTATTTGCATACGACTGTACACATTTTGAAAAAAATCTTTTTTTATTTTCAAATTATTTTTTTTAAAGATTGATAAATGGTATTAACTTAATTTGAAAATTAAAAATCAACGGTAAAAGCAGGTATTCTAACCACCATACCTTACTTTAAAATAAACAAGACTTATTATTAAAATAAAATAAATAAATCAATCCAATATACTCACAGGGTGAATTTTTCCCCTCTAACCATGTAAAATTCCAATATGGATCACAAATTGGATGAAAATGTAGATAAATGTGTAAATTTAAATGTGGGAAAACGATTTTTGGTATTAACATATTTTCTGTTTTTATCAAATTGTTTGAGAACTACAGACTTTTTTTAAATTTCTAAATACCATTTTAATAGAATTGTAATTACGCAACTTTTTAAATTTTTAGTTTTTAGACTTTCCAAAATTTATAAAATCTGGGACATTCCATGGTAACTGGCGATACAATCAAGTATATTATTTCACGACAATACTTATAAAGTTATAAAGTTATAAAGTGCTCTTTTAGTTCCACCCTTACATCCAAACTAAGATGTCCCATAAGCCAACTGAATGGCTTGTGCGGGTTAGGGGTAGGAACGGACCGACGGCTTAAAGTCCCCTCCGAAGGACTATACACAATGGACAAACACACTTAATTCTAAAAGTTTAACCAACATCAACAATTTTATTTAAAAACTTATACTGTTCGTACACAATTAAATTAATATCATGATAGAAAAAATTCTTTTACATTGTTATTTTTAGAAAATAAAATTCACCAGTCACTCGCGTTACATACTAAGGACATACGATTTACCTTTCCATAAACTTTTTACTATTTGCGTTTTTAACAATGAAACTACTCTCAAATATCAAAAATAGATAAAGGTTAAACATAAAGAAATTTATACAAATATAAATGTTTTTATACATTTGGTTTTAAAAAATAAACAACAAAAAATGGTAATTCGCGTTACATTAAGCTTTGATTCCTTTTGACATAGCAATGTTTAAAAAATAGTACTAAGTTATGACGCTTGCCAATTTGACAGTTCTTAAATTTAATTTGTATTACAAATAAATAAAGTCAACAAGATGCACAGCCTACTATACCGTATATCGTACATTAATTTGTGATTTTCCTCATCATGTCCGCACTTTTATGGAATGTCCTTTCTAAATTTGTAAAATTCCCAATATTTTTAAAATTTACAAAAATTTTTAATTTAAAAAAAAATTTGACAACAAAATTTTCAAAATTACAAAACTTTTAAAAAAATTTAATTTACAATTTTTAGTAGTAATATCACAAGAGAGTGATAAAAAAATAATAATAAGTTTAATTTTTGAAAAAAAAGCAAAATAATTTTTATAATTATTCATTTTAATTTCTTGTTATAAATATTAAATTAAACTATTAAATATCAAACTTAACATTTTTATTTGGTAAATATTTGACAGCTGTCAACGGACTAAAATGCCCAAAAGACACTGTTGCTAACTAAAACGCCATAAACTCAAAGCATCAATAGGGAAGTAAATAAAAATTTTTAAAATAGGTAAATAATTTTTAACATTTAAAAACCGACACTTGGACTTAACTGTAACCTCTTCTATGCCCTGGTATAATCAAATAGAGGTTTTAGTTTTAATCACTGAATCTGAATTTAAGGTTACCACAACTTATAAATTTAAAAATAAATAGTCAAACAAAAAGTCAAACTTACAAAATCCTATGTATATTCCACCCATATTGGGTCCTGAAAAAATAAAATTGAATGCATTTAGAATGTCCATTAAAGTAAAACAAAAGAAATTAAACCTAAATGTAAAAGTATATATTTTTATACGAAAACTTTCTGCAAGTTAGAAACATCATGCTTGTGTTTATATTATGTTTGATTATTTTGAAGGTAACCAAATAATTTTTTTTATGGTATTTAAAATCATATTTATTATTTTTTATTTTGCTAAATTATAAAATGATATTGAATATTTTTTAAATAAAAAATATTTTCTATTTGTTAAAAAATATAAATTATCACTTATTTATTAAACTTGGACCAAAAGACTGCTTTTTCACCCAATTTTCTAAAATAAATCCGAACTGCAAAGAACTAACAAGTGAAAAAAGCCAACCTATTTTTCATTCACACTAAACTAACTATCTATTTGATCCTTTAAGATCGTTTTGGTGTACTGACAGCATGAGTTAAATTCGGTGAATTTATATTATTTTACCCTGTGGCAATTTTCACGTATCCACCTCCAAAAATAAGCCGTGGATGATAATAGAATGTGGGGACGCGCATCTTCATATACTTTTTTGTTCTTGTACCACAGCTCCCTTCCATCCATTCATTAGTAGGTATTGAATATGCAAGCAGAGTGAAATATATTATAAATAACTTATTACGGAAAAAATATCCGCGCGAACTCTACTCTGAAGATTTCTTAAATATAGTTTCAGTTCGTTTAAAATTTTATAATTTAAAAAATTTATATAGATGATTTCTAATGAAAGTCTGATTTAACAAAAATGTATGGGTACCTATGTTTTTCTTTGAAAAGCTATGTCGGTTAAATTAGAAAAAGGTTGCGTAATTACAATTCTATTAAAATGGCATTTAGAAAAAAATCAGCGATTCTCTAATAATTTGAAAAAAACTGTAAACCTGTCAAAACCAAAAATCGTTATTTTGGGAATTTTGAAAAAAAAGTAAGTTTCACATGTAAACATACACATTTATTTACATTTTCATCAAATTTGTGATTTTTTTCGCTTACTAGATTTTGAGTTACTACTACCATTTTTGTTTTTCTATGGCCACCAACAAAAAATCAACGAATCTAACGTATCAAACTACATCATTTCCAAAGAATAACAAAGTTATAACGATTTTTCGCTTTGACAGGTTTTTAGTTTTTTTCAAATTTTAAGAACCGCTGATTTTTTCCACTTTATAAATTTCATTTTAGTAGGCTTGTAATTACGTAACTTTTCTCTAATATTAACGACCCTGTAGCTTTTTAAATATAAAACACACAAAGAAACTTTTTTACTTCAGCTCTTACTAGTATCATCTTAATTATTTTATTATTTTTAATGACATAAGAAAAAATGCATAACTTGCTAATACATATTATATAGACTTGCACAATATAGAAGGCATATTTTTGTAGAAAATTTTAATCTTTAAAAAAGGTCTTTTACGATTTTTTCGTAAAACCATTTATTTAAATAATATCCATTTAATGTTTGAAATAAATAAAGAATATACCACTTTTTTGGCTTTGATTTGTCTTTTAATTTGGAAACAAAAATCCTGCCTAAATGATTATATATACAGGGTCTCCCAGAACTCGCGCAACAGAGAAAACCGGAACGTGCCGAAATTTATGCGAAAAATTTAAATTAAAATTATCTAACGCAAAGCATAAGCGAGATAAAAATAATAAACGATAGCCAATCCCAATACACCCAGATAACATTCGTGAATGCACATTAAACTCACACCGGGCGCACGCCGTGAATCTTCAAAATTGAATGAATCGTGAATTCACTGTGAGTTCACATGCAGATGGCATTTGTAATGCACATTTAATTCACATAGGGCACACGCCGTGAATCTTTAAAAATGAATTAATCGTGAATTCACTGTGAGTTCTCAAAAAATATTCTTAATGCACATTTAATTCACACCGTGCGCACGCCATGAATCTTCAAAATTGAATGCATCGTGAATTCACTGTGAGTTCGCCGATAACATTTGTAATGCACATTGAATTCACACCGGACGCATGCCGTGAATCTCCAAGATTAGGTATATCCTATAAATGCACCACTGTGCATGGGTTTATAAAGATGTGTTAGCATGTTTAATTTAAGATCTTCAAATTTATTTTGATAGGGTAGCTATACCTCATTTTGAAATAAAATAAATTTGAAGACCGAATTCGAAATAAGAAAAAGAAAAGATAACATTAAAGGAATATTAAATAAAGATTTTTAATAAATATTAAACGGAAAATAAAAAAGTAAATTTTTTTAATAAATATCAATTAATAATATTTAATATACCTATAATACCAAGAAATACTCGTACCAACCTTACATTTTACTGCCCCAACGCTAGGTCGAATATTATTCTTAAGTCACCAATTTATTTTATGTGCAAAAATTTTAATATATACTGCAATAAATGTGACATTAACTTTAATAGTATTGGTTTTATAATTGATAGCTTATGTAAAAATTTTTTAGTCTAATCTTGTTATACCTCTTTTTGTATATATATTTTTTTTAATAATATTAGGACTTATTTTAATTTATTGTATGTAATTGTTCTGTAAATGGATTTTATATCTGTTGGACAATAAACGTTATTATTATATGTAGGTATTTAGGTGTAAAGGTAAATCGGTATAATAATTATTAATTATAATTATTTGGTATAATAATTATTAATTATAATTATTTGGTATAATAATTATTAATTATAATTATATATTATATATAATAAACAAAAACTGCAATACCAAGTACGCGCGAACGCGTGCGCATGCGCACATGGCCGTCTCATTTTAACTAAATAACCAGCATGCATGCAGGGTTGCCGCTGTAGTGGGTAAAATCAGGTATTTTGTAATTTTTGGTCGGCAACTTTCATGAAAATCATCCGGCTGCCGGATTCCGGCAACACTGCAGCATTAGTCTGCGTACGCAGCTACGAGCCACGAGGTTTTCTATGGTTTTCTATGGTAAACATCTAGCTAGAAATCCTGTACCGTTCAGTTTTAAGATTTATAATATATCTATTAGGGTGTTTCAAAATAAGGCAATATTTTTCTTTTTTTAAATTCATGTAAAATTCTCGTCACTTATGCTAAAAAAAATTTTGTCAAAATTTGAGCTCTTTATATTAACTTTAAAAGGTCCATCATCGAATTTAAAATTTCCCCATTGATTGAACAAGGAAAAATAATTTTTTAAGATTTATTTCGCCTGCATACTACGTACAACTTTTTTTTTGATAAACAATCACTGGTCGTTTTTTATCATTAAATTATCTACAAAAAATCTTACAGAGTCTAGTCTGTAGATTCAACTGTTTCTTTTTTATTAACGTTGAAACGTATAAATTGTAAAAAAATTTGATATTTTTACATTTAGCGGCTAAACTACAAATCGTAGAAAAAAGTCAATTGGCAATTTTAAAGATCGTTTAATGTTCTACAAATTCGTTTTGCTCAATTTTTTTATCACCTACATTTCAAAAGTTATAACTTATAAGTGTCTAAAATCCCATTTTCATGATTATGCATAATATATTATTATAATATTCACTGTAGGAAAAAAGTTTAGGGACAATTTTGCAAAAAAATTTTAAAACAAATTTGTAGAGCATTAAAAGATCTTTAAAATTGCTAATTAACTTTTTCTTCTACGATTAGTACTTAGCCGCTAAATGTAAAAATATCAATTTTTTTATAATTTTTACGTTTCAACGTTAATAAAAAAGAAAGAGTTGAATATACCAATTGGACTCTATAAGATTTTTTGTAGATAATTGAATGCTAAAAAAGGACCAGTGATTGTTTATCAAAAAAAAAGTTCTACATAGCATGCAGGCGAAATAAATCTTAAAAAACTATTTTTCCATGTTAAATCAATGGAAAAACTTTAAATTCGATGATGGACCTTTTAAAATTAATATTAAGAGCTCAAATTTTTACAGAATTTTTTTTTCAGCATAAGTGACAAGAATTTCACATGAATTTGAAAAAAGAAAAATATTGCCTTATTTTGAAACACCCTAATATCTATGTTTATTATATTATTATTCAGTTCAATAATTACTTAAGTTGCTGGCCAGGAATTCCAAAGGTAAGTTTGACATTATATTTTTGCATGATCAGTGCACTGATAATAATTGTTACAATTTATGCAAAAACAACAAAAACAACCCATAGAGCACAAAGTCGACCATATGGTGTCCATAGAACATCCATCTGTGTACAAATGGATATCCATAGTATGTCCAAGAATATTATATGGACGTTCCATGTACGTACATATAACGTTACTTTGGCACACTATAGGATGTTGGTTTGCTTGTTTATTCTGAGTTATGTATACATTTATTTATTCTAATCAAATTACAAACATATAGGGTTTAGGATAAAAAAAGGTTTAGACAGTGGCGGCTGGTGGATTTAGAGTATACCAATATCTATGTACACTAGATTAGTGGAGAATATAATTGTGGTTATGTTATAATTATAAGAATATGTTTATTAATTTTAAAACATCAAATAAAGCTGTTAAAAAATGCAATCACTTTACCTTTGATCGAGTCGAGCCGGCTTTTTTTATTGCTGTTTTTTTATAAACCACACCTATTAATTAATAAAGTTTAAGTCGTAACTTGGTATTTCTGAGGTGTTTCTTTTAATAAAATTATAGTTACCTACTATATATAGTAAATTAATTTAACCAAACTGTAATTGGTTTGCAAACAAAACAATTTTAACAATTAACAACAAATAAAACATTTTTTATTTTTTATATAAACCGTTTTTTATATAAACCAAACCTATTAATTAATAAAGTTTAAGTCGTAACTTGGTATGTCTGAGGTGTTTCTTTTAATAAAATTATAGTTACTATATAGTAAATTAATTTAACCAAACTGTAATTGGTTTGCAAACAAAACAATTTTAACAATTAACAACAAATAAAACATTTGTTATTTTTTATATAAACCGTTTTTTATATAAACCAAACCTATTAATTAATAAAGTTTAAGTCGTAACTTGGTATTTCTGAGGTGTTTCTTTTAATAAAATTATAGTTACTATATAGTAAATTAATTTAACCAAACTGTAATTGGTTTGCAAACAAAACAATTTTAACAATTAACAACAAATAAAACATTTCTAATTTTTTAAGTGTAGTTAATTGTAAAAATTGTTTTGTTTGATATTTTTGTAAAATGTATTTAGTATGGTACTTTGAACATCCATCTTATTGTTTCTTGTCTTGTGTCCATCTATGGATATCCTATGGACGTTCTTCTGGAAAACCCTAAGGACATGGGAAAGCGTAAACTCCATGGACGTACATTTAAAGTCCATGGACGTATGTACTTAGTTTGGACCTTTAATGGACGTACAATGCATTGTACGTCCATTAAAGGTCCATGGACGTAGTGTGCTGTGTGGGAATGAATAAAAAATATATAAAAAAATAACAATAAAGCGTTATAACCATGGTTATTATTATTCAAAAACAGTAATTGCAATAAAAACTATCTTTAATAAAATATGTATACAAGGCAGGGGGGGCAATGGGGACA